AAATGGTCGATATTCTACTTGAAATTCAAAATTATTATATATAAATAAATGTAAATTAAGAATACATAATTGAGGGAAATATAGTTCCACCAGAGAGTCTATTATAAATAAAGGAAAGTTATAACAATTATTTTCCATTTTATACAGCATTTAAATGGTCGATATTCTACTTAAAATTCAAAATTATTATATATAAATAAATGTAAATTAAGAATACATAATTGAGGAAAGTATAGTTAGTCTATTATCAATAAAGGAAAGTTATAATAATTATTTTCCATTTTATACAGCATTTAAATGGTCAATATCCTACTTGAAATTCAAAATTATTATATATAAATAAATGTAAATTAAGAATACATAATTGAGGGAAATATAGTTCAACCAGAGAGCCTATTATAAATAACAATTATTTTCCATTTTATACAACATTCAAATGGTCAATATCCTACTTGAAATTCAAAATTAATAAATAAATGTAAATTAGAAAATCTAACACATAAATCAAAATTAAAAATATACAGTTAAGGAAAATATAGTTCAACCAGAGAGCCTATCATAACAAAAATAAAGGAAAGTTGTAACAATTATTTCCCCACTATGCAATTCGTTTCTCTCAATTAACATTCTTTACCCAGTCATTTGAAGGAAAAGTTCGTTTTATTTCGGCCCGCGGAATGGCCTAAAAGCATTTATCATGAACACTACGTAGCCAGCCGCCACCCTAATCTGCCTGGTTATCGCACAAGCGCCGCGCGGAAACGGTTTAACTTAATTCCGAACGCATTTATCAATAGGCAAATAGATCATGGATCGCGTGTGTCGGACGTCGGGAGGCTCGTAAGTCAAACAATCGCAGATACGACGCAAAATGCGAGATTGCTGATTGCGAGCGAAAACAGAGCGATGTTATGTCGATGATCCTTGTTCGAGGCGTTGAAAGTTTAACCGATTAACGATCGTACAGTCCGTTCGGGAACGATTCGTCTGCTTCTCCACGATGGATTACCAGCGATACGGACAGATCAATTTATAGCACTTGATCTTGCATCGGTTCATCGAATAGATTCGTTTCTTTTAGAAAAGTTAACCTTTTGCGCTACGAATATTTTTTATTCAAGGCTCTTTGCGCAATGTTTCGTAGACGAGAATACTTTTGAGAAATATACATTTTTTATTGATCAGAATTCATTTATAAATTCAGTGAATATCGATACATATTGGAATGCAATTCCAAAAAAAAAAAAAAAGAATTTCAGATTTTTTGTTGACAGAGTAAAATCAATCGTTTTCAAGAATTATTATAATATGAGAAGACTCAAACATACTTAACATGATGAGGTAAATAAATAAATTTCAATATTATCACTATAAAATAACAGTCAATGAACACGAAATGAACGAAATTAATCAATGTGTGACTCAAAAGATAATAATCTTACTGGTAGTAAACTGTTGGAGTAGTATGTCTTCAGCAGTTATGGCAGCTAATGCATTGTTGGAGCGCAAATAGTTAACACGTAAGATCGTTGGAAATTCTCTGTATGGCATCGAAATCCTTTAACATCGGACGCAACTAAAATCTGACCGGCTGTCATGAATTTAGGGCAGTCGAGCATGACGCGCTTAACTGTTTAATTAATCCCGGGCATCACAGCGTGACAGACCGTTTGTAATTAACACTTTAATGGCGGATGACGCACTGTCGCGTCTTTTCGTTTCCACGAGCTAGAGGCCGTTGACATAGTACGTACGTACATCGCGTCTTTTCGCGTACAAAAACTGCTAAAGCGGCTCTCAGTATCGATCTTTGTCCAAAAACGCGCATTAAAGTGTTAAAAGCTGGTGACGGTCGATTTTTAATTCCTCCGTTCCTTATTTTACAGTTCAATAAATTTCTTATTACTTTCAGTCTCCAAAATACGTATTTTTAGTTAATTTTTAAAAGCGAGGAGCCAAGAAAATTAATTCTCAAGCGGAGATGTTAAAGAAAATAAATCTAGACCCTCAAATGTTAACTGTACAAATAAATGACAAATTGTGGGGTGTAAATGGCAATTTCAAGGGTTTGGTCTGGGCAGTTAACGCGTCAAGGGCGTGATTCAGCGATGCTATCAAATCCACCCCTGTAAAGTTCGAATCAACTGAAAGTAAAATTGAACAAAACTGTACTGGAAAAAGAACCGAATAGCAGTACAGTAATATTGACAATAATAATCGAGCAATATTTGCGAGCGAACTTCGGAATCCAAAGCCGCGCGTGTTCGTTTTAAGTTCGTGTTTGTGGAAACGCTCGACTGGTTCCGATCGAACGTTGCAAAGTGTACGGGAACAGCATCGATGGTTCATCGTTTGCAAACATTGGCGCATCAACATAATAGACGCATGAAAGCGGACGTAGAGAATGCAAGAGAGGCGACGGTATCGCAAATAAAATGGACGACAGCACGACGTTGTACAGAGTAACGAGGCGTATTCGCCCGGTATTGACGGAGGGATGATGGGACGTATCGAAAGCGGTATTCCATCGATTATACGGGCTCTTCTAAATCCGGGGGATAGTCTGCTAGTTATTCGTGCGTGCTTTCGTTCCTACGATTTGTTTCCATACGTTAACAACGTCGTTTACGCGTTTCTCTCCCGATACTTTCACCCACGCAACGTCCAAGGCTTCCATCGATCGGAAGTCGAAGTAGCTGGTGTTTTTTCGCAATTCAAAAACCCCTGACACCTCCCTCGAACGTTGTAATCGTTTTAGGCAAAGGAACAGCGGGCTCGCGCCAAGTCGTGATATTTAATTGTCGGGAATTGCGGGATCGAATCAACGCGATAAGCTGTGTGGCGTTGACTCCTTTGTTTCTGAAAACGGAGGCCCATTTCGAGCACGTTGTACAAGTTCACAGCGATGCTATCGATCGAGTAATTCGTTGAATGTAGCCTGTAGTATACTGCCGAACGCAGAATATACTTAGACCGGTCGAACGCGTAGATTCGGAATGCAAAACGGCGAATAAAATTGCCGAAGGGGTTGATCGCCGATGAATCTGAATAATGCAAGGAAAACGATCGTAATTGTACGCTGATATTTTTGGATGGAAATTGTTCACCACGAAATGGGGCAAAAGTTAACTTGCATTGTCGAGGCTTTGTTTCTCAAGTTGTAAAAAATTATTTATTTAATATTGGATAGGTAATAGAAAAGAATAATTCAATAATTGACTTAATATGTATTTATGATTCTATCCATAGTAAACTGATTTAACGAAGTAAATTAATACAATTTAAATTATCGTAGAAGAGTTTATTTTCCAAAATTAATTTGTGGGAATGTAAAGGGTTAATATTTAAATTAAAGCTCGTTTCCTTTTCCCAATCATACCTTGAAGTATTAACGTGCAATGACGAATCCCTTCGTACGGTAAATTGTATTCAGAAAAGTAGCCTGAGCGTTACAAACGAGACGGTATCTGAACAGAATTTGAAGAGGTATTTTGAAATAAACCGAAACTCTCGGGCATTTTTCGTTTCGCCGTTATTAAATATAAAATCGTTTGATATTCGTACGTCGGAATCAATCGTTCGCGAGGGAAATTGCTCGCCTCGTTCCCAGCTCGGAGATTGCATGACGGGGCCACAGCCGATGAAAACGTATATCGGTACTTCGTACACTAACACGACGCGTCAGCGAGGTATCCGTTCCACGGGTTATCCCCAATTATTATTGGTATTTTTCATCGACGTGCAATCATTCGCCACCGACTTTGTTCTATCCTCTCATCGTTGCTCGTCATCTCATCGAATTCCACCGGCGGGTAATCAATCTGGTGCCTTGATCGTAAATCGCTGGACGGATATGTTTTCTCGTGATCGATCCATCTCGGCGTGTTTTCAACCATTTTCCACGACTGTCGATTAATTCGAAAGGGAGAATCGATCCCGCGAAACGACGAGCAATCGAGACGCGATTCGAAACCACGGAACGTCTCACCGATTTAACATTCTTGTTAACGTTTTTGTGTGGTTTTCTCGAGGAATAACCGATTAACAGCATCCGCGTGCGTTCACGGAGGGATTGATACTCGCCACACGCGACGAACGGAGATCCAAGGTAAGTGGAGTCGATGCCTCGATCGCGACGATACGCAGAGATCACGAGAGAAGCGTTGTATCCGCACGATGACTCACGGGCACGGGTTGCATCATCGTTGTACATGCACTAACCAGCGACAGGTAAAGGAGGATCGTTTCTAACGATCGATCGCGATACGGAGGAGGTGAATCATCGAGATGCTCTTGTACGTTGACATCTACCAGGGTGCTTTCCTTCCAACGGAATCTCCATTCCCTTCGCGCGAATCGATCTGAAATATTACGAGGACGATTCGGGTACTCGGTACGCCGAAATATTTTCACATTGGTTGGAAAAGAGTTTGGCCCCTTTAACCCGTCCCCTGTGTACTTGTCCCCGCATCTAATCGCAAGCTGCACGCATCTATCGAATCGAAGCTGGTGTCGCGGGCATGCTTTTGTGGTATGTTTCTCGCTAGGCACGTTTTGTAATGGTGTTCCCGTGTGTTGCATATGTATATATATATATATCTGTTTTGTCGGCGTCGCGCCTTCCTTCCCTTGATCTCCCTTTCGAGATTGGCTTCGCTGCTTTTTCCTTTATTCGCTCGGAGAAACGCGCTCGGGGGTCTGCAAGACTCGCAAAGAACACGATAGCCAGAAATTTGGCGATTCTCGATTTTGCGTTGGTACCAGAGAACAAATAAAACGCTGCTTAACGCTTTATTTACGGGATACGTGGATTTTCCAGGGAAAACTCGCCTCTGGTATTTATAATTTCTGTTATCTAACTTGCAACTGCAGCTCGTATTATCGGAAAGATAGGGGCTTGCAGAGTCTCGCGAACGGAATGCCCGCGTTTCTCCGAGCGGTTTGACGCGCAAATGATTATGTCGATCGAGCAGACCGTAATCGAAGGTGTTGCTAAAAAGATTCACCGGGTGGCGACGACGCAACGTGGGTCACATGGAAGATGGCCCTGACGATAGCCATACCGATATGCGCGATCTGCGTGGTTGTTATGGTCATTTATCATATACACATGACCAGAAGGAGGCCCGGCGGGCATTTTCCGGACGACTCGCTGGAGGCGCCGGATCGACCCATCCTGGGCGGCGTTACCATCAAGGACATGCTGGAAATGACGACCAGCGGCAGTGGCTCAGGTAGGTCGAATAAAAGTTTCGCGTATGTGGGTTAACGCGTTATTTTTATTTTTACCATAGTTCAGACGTGACTACAATTTTTAATCGTTAACACGTTCTTCATTTGTTCTTCATTACATCAAAGTGTATAATAATTTCAAAAAATAAAAACTATGTAGAATGCATGATAATGTGTGTCATTTTGAATTACAATGAAAATGAATGAACGTGTTAAATATTTTAGACGAAATTGAAAACGAAGTACAGTAAAATTCCGATTATCCGCCATACTCGGGACTGGGGAAGATCAAATATGCTGGATCTAGACTATATCTACATATAAAATATACGAATAGATCCAATGCATTTTTTTCGGAGCATATTTCTGAGGCTCTGATTTTTCGTGTCACATTCTTAGAATTTCTACATACTCTGCGCCAAAATACGCGTTGTTTGCATTTTGAAACATTGAAATCCTCCAAACAGTTCGGAAGTTATGATTTTTTAAACATATGCATGAAATTTCGGGGAAACATTTTCGGCAAAGAATTTTTTTCTCGAAAGTGCTTAGGATTTCGAGGGTATGTCTATTCACCAAAAATGGTTGTAATTGACCCCCCTAGCTGAAAATAATTTTTTCAGAACGATCTAAAATTTTTTTTTTTCTGAAAAATTTAGGCACTTTCTGAATTTTTTTCTCGAAAATGCGTAGGATTTCGGGGGTATATGTATTCACCAAAAATGGTTGTATTTAACCCCAGAAACTAGAAATAATTTTTTTAGAACGAATTGAAAATTTTTTTCCCACAAAAAATTTCAGCACCTACCCGAATTTTTTTCTCGAAAGTGCGTAGGATTTCGGGGGTATGTGTAATGACCAAAAGTGATTGTAATTGACCCCCGGAACCGAAAATAATTTTTTTAGAACGATTTGAAAAATTTTTTTCTCGCCGAAAAATTGTCGATTTGTCTTAAAAATTCGTTTCTTGTTTTTAATATATATTTCTGTAGGTATCCATGAGCTCTACTTTAGAAATAAATTACCATAAAATACCATAGAATACTCGGGGTAAATATGCCTGTTATTCGGATAATCGGAACTCTACTGTACTGCGTTTGATCCACACTTTGGTTTGTTAAATTTAATCAATGTTTTTCCAAAAAGCTCCGGCTTACTTTAAGAACAGTATTGCGAAGCTTGTTCAAGTACGAGTTGTTTGGCAAATTTCGTTAACGAACAACGAATACAAATTTCAGATTTCAATCATAACACCAGGTTTACAGAACCCGTCAATTTGACGTGTTTCAGATTCCATATTTAAAGTCACAGAACTCATTTTATATTGAATCCGATTGATGCAGAAGAATCTAGTGTTTGAATAATGAATAATGAAAGTTTTTATTTGTTATTCGCGAATGATGTTTGCCCGACACTGTGCGGGACAGAGCATGAATTTCGCGCACACGAGACATGTTCAACGATACTGAAATTCGTGTTCTTCAATGCCCATCCTTTCTTAAGTAGGCCTGCCGCTTCTGGTACAGCGGAGCATAGCCCGCCAGATTCAACTCGTAGAGACGATCGGGAAAGGTCGGTTCGGCGAGGTCTGGCGTGGCCGTTGGAGGGGTGAAAATGTCGCTGTCAAAATCTTCAGCTCGCGCGAGGAGAGGTCCTGGTTCAGGGAGGCAGAAATATACCAGACGGTGATGTTGAGGCACGACAATATCCTGGGGTTCATCGCTGCTGACAACAAAGGTATCTCTCTTTTTCAGAAATTTTAAGAATTCAAACTCAAAAACAACAGACTCCTTAACGAGATCGCAGAGGACTGGACAAACCTGGCCAAATTAATCTAAAGTCTCTCATAGGTCATAAATAAAAGAAAAATTATTAACTCAAAACGTGTTTCGAGTTTCGAGAACTTACGATTTGAAAATCTCTGTTTATTAAAATGTTAAAACCAGTCAGTTATTCGGATAATTTCACTTCGCAACAACTCTATTAAACGGTTCTGGCGCTACCGACAATGATTATTTCATGAAATTTCGTTTGCTTCGATAGTCCGTTAGCCTCTATTTAACAAGATTAACGCGATTTCAATTAAGCTGGTTAAACGAGGCGTTGAAACTTGGATGTATGTATAGTCGAGAGCTAATCGGCTTTGTGGATGAAAATTGTGCGCGAAGTACGATCGATAGGAAATGGAACAGTGGTTTTGTATTCTGCCTGAAAATTTCTACAATAAACCGAACGCAGGAAGAAGGATGACTGCCAAGAATCTTACCAGCAACGATACTTTAATCATCAAAATTATTGGAGGACTCGTTTTGAGTCTCTATATAAACAAAAAATTACATCGAATCGCAACTGCAATTTTCTTTTGTTCGCAGATAACGGCACGTGGACACAACTGTGGCTGATCACGGATTACCACGAGAAGGGCTCGCTGTTCGATTACTTGAACAGATCCACCGTGGACACGAACGGTATGATCAGGATGGCGTTGTCCATCGCCACAGGGCTGGCGCATCTTCACATGGAAATCGTCGGCACGCAAGGGAAACCGGCCATCGCTCACAGAGATCTGAAGTCGAAGAACATCCTCGTGAAGACCAATGGTACATGCGCCATAGGTGATCTTGGATTGGCTGTCAGGCATGACGTAATAACGGACACTGTCGACATCCAGCTCAATAATCGGGTCGGGACGAAGCGGTACATGGCGCCGGAGGTAATCTCAAAAAATAAAAACGCTTACAATTTCGAAACGATCGCGAGGGAGTATTTAATGATCGATCTCGCGGCGTGCAAGAGTTCCTTCGTAGAAAGTTCACAGCTGGAGAGGAGGTTGGCTCCTGAGAATTGTTGGTTCTGCTTTCAGGTTCTCGAAGAGACGATAAACATGAACCACTTTGATTCCTTCAAGAGGGCTGACGTATACGCTCTCGGGCTGATCCTCTGGGAGATCGCCAGGCGGTGCAACGTCGGCGGGATTCACGACGAATATCAGTTACCGTTTTACGACTTGGTGCCTTCTGATCCGACGATCGAGGAGATGCGCAAAGTTGTGTGCACCGACAGGCAAAGGCCCTCGATACCGAACCGGTGGCAGTCGATCGACGTAACTATAAACACCCCCTTGATCACCGGAGCTCGATCTCTTAATCCCTCGACTTTGCCCCAACAACATAGTTACCAACAAGCCAAACCGTGCATGTCGACTAACGTAATACAAAGAGTAAAGCAAAATGTGCAGCAGAGATTTGTGCATTTTATTATTAGGCAAACTTAAACACAAATTGCACACTTTTTTTATTAGATTAGTAGACACTAGTCCACGTTCAATATCAATCGATATAAGATTAGCTTCCTCTATATACTAATCCCTCGACTTTGCCCCAACAACATAGTTACCAACAAGCCAAACCGTGCATGTCGACTAACGTAATACAAAGAGTAAAGCAAAATGTGCAGCAGAGATTTGTGCATTTTATTATTAGGCAAACTTAAACACAAATTGCACACTTTTTTTATTAGATTAGTAGACACTAGTCCACGTTCAATATCAATCGATATAAGATTAGCTTCCTCTATATACTTAGAAGTTAAAGAGTATTCTTGTTTCAAGTGTTCATGGTATCGAAAATTAGTTGAGTAACTTAAAGAAAGGATTGATGCAATAGAAGTCAGTTTCAACATCTCTTATGGTATAAATCTTGAACTGTTAGGTCCAGAGCACAGGTACCTCAACACTTTTTGTAGTCATCCAAACACTGCATCGACAGAGCAATGAAGATTATAGAGTTCCTTAATTACGTTCAGTTTAATCGAATTGAAGTACGAGTCGAGCTCATTCCAGTGGTATTCATTAAATAACACACCTGTTTCGTTTTTGCAGGCATTACAGGTGATGTCGAAGGTGATGAAGGAGTGTTGGTACCACAATGCGGCAGCTAGGCTAACCGCGCTTAGGATTAAAAAGTCTCTGGCCAATTACGGGGCGATGGAGGACCTGAAGTAAGAACGGGGACGTTATCGGGCGCGCCAGTTTGTCGGCGGTCGTCGTGACGTATGAAAAAAACAGAAGTGCTCGAAAGACACGTGGACACTAATGCCGTAACACTTACCGCAATAAAACTTTTTAAGTGCCGCGTTGCGCGCTAAAGTTCTAGAGGTATGTATAAAATGATATAGATACGGAGAAGGAAAGGGAATTCTAATAGCGAAGCAGAGAGCCTAACGAAAGACTGGTCGAGAAATCGAGACGACGTTCCTTTAATCGCGTTGACTTCGTCGAGTCGTACCCCTAATTTTGAGCATCGGATCCCGTACGAGACGAGGTCGTGCAAACCAGTGAACTCGATGAAAAGTTGAAAGCATTTAACGAGCAATGACTGACAGAAACACGGACAAGATCGGCGGAGATCGTCCACGAACGGGAACGAGCCGGTTGGTTCGTCGATCGATCGATCGATCCGTACCAGGGGTAAATTTTTAAACGCGCGATACGGCGATTCGGTTAATCGAACGATTCACGCCTGGTCACGCGTCACACTACTGCTGTATATTTATTAATAGTAAACGATAAGATAATAAAGGTATATAAATTTATTATATAGCGACGTTTATTGAGTAATATTAACGATTAACGATAAATTTGTATATTAATATATACACACGTATAATTATGTATATTCGTTATCGGGCAAACCGATTCGATTAACCGAACTGATTTATTCATTGAGTGTGCACGGGGGAGGTTTTCATTCCATTAAGCGATGATCATTGGTAAAAATTTTCGCCGCTCGAACGGACCGATCGACGCCCCGGCGGGCTCGCGCTCCGCCATGCGATTTTGATTTCGTACATCCGTTGGTCGATTCCACGGGAACGGCCTCTATTATATCAGGATCGCTGTAACGTTATTCTACTCTTCTTTTTCTACATTTCACGATGTGGATTTGTCACTTTACCGGTGCGTGCAGAGACTGGATTTTTTTTCATTTTTCTTGGGAGCATATACCGTACACCGTGTTACAAGAGAAATGCATAAACTTTGTTTCTCGTTCTTTGCGATTGCAGGATCGAGTTCGTCGATTCTGTAAACATACAGGGTAGGTAGAGAGAAACCGAGCAATTGTGGTTGTCGAGTACGTAAGTGACCAGACGGTGGGAAAACACGTGGTTTTTGTTCGAAAGGAACCAAGATTGTACGAACACTGACCGACGCTCTTTTTCTAAAAAAAAAAAGTAAAAAAAAATATATAAAAATACGACACGAAAAAAATATTGCTTTTCGAGCCGGAAAACATACAATTTTGTCACGTATCACCCCTTCGGGACGCTAAGTTTCTACTCAAGGTTTTTACACAACGAAGTTTTTTCCGCGACTTCTCCGGGCTTCATTTTCATCAACCGCGTCATCTAATGTATACATATTCTTAGTCTGTAGACATACCCAGATGTTTTGCTCAAGACAAAATATTTTTGCGTATTGTAATGCGCGTGTTGAAGGCGGTGCGTCATGATACGCGGGACTTTCGAAGCGTGTTTCCTTTGTAACACAGGAAGGCTGAAATTGAAGGGTGCTAAGCTCAAGAATGAATGTATACGGTACTGCGTGAGTGCGAGAGAACGAAAGAGATCGCGTGAAACTGAGAAGCGAGAGGAGAGAGTGGTACGACAGACTGAATTTGCGACTGAACGAAAGCGAGACAGAGTAAAAAGATTTAAGAGAAACAAAAAGAAAAAAAGAGAAAAAAAAATGAGACGTAAACGAATATCGACGGAAAAGAAAAGAAATATTGGAGAAATTATATTTTCGGGGGATTTTTTCACGGATTCAAGGATGAAAGAGAGAAAGAAGCGAGAAGAGATTCGAAACGACGCGCCTGGATCGAGCGTTCCACGATCTTCGACGCTTTTTTCACGATCCCGTACTTTACGCTTTCCTTTTCAAAATTGAAGCCTCGAACGCTGGATCGAGGCGCGCGTTCGCGCAAGTCGCGGTCTCGTCAAACGAACAGCAGTCGTGATCGACGGAGTTGCGTGCGTTTTTTACGTGTGGCGGAGTTATAGCGAATGCGAGAGTTTCGGTATGGTATGTCTCTCTGCGAAGCTTGATTGTTTTTGGCGGCTTTTGTTCCGGCCCCAAAGACGGTCCGTTAAATCGGTAACATTTACGATAAGATACTTCCTCGATGGAACGTTAGGCGTAATCACGCGATAAAGGAGGTGGACACTCGTGTACGAGAACGAGGGAAACGCAGATCGCGCGAGAGAAAACCGGGAAGGAGAGAAGAGAAAGAATCTTTGTCATCCAATAGTCAACGTAAAAGTCTGCGAACTTACAATTATTATTATATAAAGGGACGGTGTGTCCTTCGAACACATAATTGTATTTTTATATTGTTTTTTACCAACCGACGTCCAACCGGACGATCTACTGATTTTTCCCTTTCATTTTCTAAACGCTCGAACAAACTCGAACCCCAGACGGACGATACTCCCCCCCCCCGATCGTCTACGAGATCTTCGATAATCGACGAATTCGCGTACGTTCCTTTCTCCTCGGCGATCACTGATGAGATTCCATGTAAATGCCGGAACGCCACCGACCGAAGATGTCCACGTTCGCGTCGCGATATCTGCAGGTTCTGCAACTCACCAAAAGACTGAGATCTTAATGTTCGACTAGTAGGTAACGATTAAATAATTGAAAACTGAATAGTTGACCCCGCGGCGTGTGTCGCGTACCACCGTCGCGGATGTTTTTAACTGATCGACGCTTTCGCCGGGGAAACTGCTTTTATTCTACCGGGCGATTCTCTCATACATTCCTATTACGACGTAGGTTAATTTATGATACGTACATACGATATAGTTACTGCGTCGATGCGGTTTCACGGGGTGTCCTCGTGGCGGCGATCCGGTTGGACCCTTCGAGAGCTGATATCGCTTCTAAGTGCAAATACAAATGAAAATATTGGTCGTTCGAAGTCATTAGACAAACCTCAACTACGTACAAGATGCAGTGTAAAATTTTAAGTATATGTTGTACGAACATCTCAGTTGATACAGAATGGTTCACAGACAGGGACAGGTAAAATATTTAATTACAGAATGGAATATTTCATTAAATCATCGTTGAAATAGTTGGTAATAAATCAGTGTTGAATAAAATTTAGCTCGTCTCTGCACACATTTGCAATTGAAAATAAGACGAGAATGTCATGTAAACATATTACAATGAAAATATTCTTTCACGACAAAATTAAATATCCGCGTATTTTTCGTTCTACTAGTATGTGTCAGAAAACAATAGAAAGTACAGCTGAAGAGTGTACAATTTGCAGAATTGTTTTGCAACAATAAACACAGTTTGTATCAACGGAGAATGTAAACATTGCTTATCTACGATTGTTCTGTAAAATTAAAATATTTGCAAAATTTACCAGCGTCCCGATGCAGTTTCAGAGTTTATTTTTCTCGTCTTTGAATTGGAAATTAATGTATATTGATATTTGTGATTTCTTCATTAATTTTCGTTTTTTTATTCAAGCGCTCTTAAGAACCCTGTGTAGATCTATGTTTATATGATATTTGTATATTATTGTGAAATATGTGGAACACTATGGACGTAGAGACAGTACCAAGCGATCTCGAACGACTAATATGTCCTCCACCGACCAGAATCCGAAAGGTTTAGCGAATAGTCAGACGCCTTCCGTGAAACTCCATCGGCGATCGTGTCCCGCAGGTATTTCCATATTACTAGTACAATTTTGTGCCAATAACAGATCGAATGTTAACTAAAGCGAGAGACCAGTAATGATAATATACATACAGAGTATTCTCACAAGCATACACATACACGATCACATATTTACACGTTCATCCGGGAAAAGATATCTTCTACGCGTGTTCGTAAGTTCAAGCGTTTACATTGCGAATTACGTGCGTTTGATCCTCGCCCAGCCGATCTTTTAATGCACGTTAGAACCGGGTCAGTTTTTACCCATGGCTGGTCGAGGTTTAACCAGACCCAATAATCGCGACATTGAGATTGCAATTAAAGTTAAGTCTATAATTTAACGAGGAAAGGTGAAGCTGTATCGACAACTTAGAATTCCAGCGAGAAGATATTTTTTCCTAGCGAGTGATATCATATCTACCGCCGTCACATTTCCAGGCGACGACACGTTGCTCCGACCTCTGAGGTCGGTGGCGTTCGGTCGAGGTCGAAGGACATCGTCGGCTGGGTTTCGAGATCACCGAACAGTCTGACTCGTATCCGACAAATGCCGAACTGCCAAATAATATATTTCAATCCCTCGATAGCTCTTCTTTGCTCCCTTACCGTTTAAGCCCCACTTGTACAAAAGTAAAAGGTAGTAAAAAATAAAGGCGTAACAATAAAAACCGCGCGAAGAAGCGCGGCGCGTTGTATGACCGCGTCGCGTCGAAGAAGCGAGAAACCTGTACCTTCGAGACGGTGTTTGGCATCGTCTGCTTTTAGTTTAATGAAACGCGTTCGAATTTTAAGTTGTGCACCAGAGTTGCGATTACCGGCGACAGGAGAAAGATTTGTACGCGTAGTTAAAATTCGGGATCGGTTGTATCGTTTGAACGCGTGGCCGGGCGTCGAGCGGCGGATCGATACCTCGAGACTCGAAAACGATTATTTACGTAGACTCCCGAAAGTAGTAATTTATTTATCGAACAACCAAAAGTTTTGGAAATTATTTTTAGTTTATTTCAGCGATTTCGATTAAATTTTGATCTTTGGAATATTATTATTTATTTGTACTCCAGAGGCCCGGATACGCTGCTCGACGCGTCGACGATACACTTTAGAATGTTAACTGTAATTTTTAAGAGTTTAGTACGCTGTCGTTGGAACGATACAACCGTACTGGTGGCTTTTAGAATTACGTTATGTAACCATATTACACATTAATCAGCAACGGCTAAATATTAGATTCGCGGAACCATTTTCTTTTACCAATCGAATAGTTTCGATAAGAATTGGTGTGTACCCTTGTGAGCGTACCTTTATTTTCGCGCACTATTCTTTTCATTGTCATTCATCGAGCCACATAATTTTTTTTTAGCCTTTTCTAAACCTTGGTAAATTTATTTTTTACGATCCCGTTAGAATTTTAATCGTTGCAGATAACTCGAACAATCCTCTGAGATTTTTAACGTATTAAGAGCACAATATTCAAGACGATTACGTAAAATTGTTTATTTCGAGATTCTTTACACGCCCTTTCGAATCGTATCTGTACGTCTTTCTCGTGCTTCGTGAATTTTATTTCTTTTTTCTTTTTTTGTGTGTGTGTGTGCGTGCATTTGTTCTTTTGATAGAAGCCACAATGATTTCCAGCGAGAAAGAACGGAAATACGTATGACTCGAACCGATCGCGAACGAAACCACGTTTTCGTTTCTTTAGACGCGTTCTTCTTTAAATGCGAGTACCTACCATTATTATTAACGATTATAATATTAATATTATTATTATTTTTACTATTCGATTATCGTCGTAGCTACAATCTTTTCTGTTTTCCATTTTCTTTCCCCAGTGTATTATACCCTGTATATAACGGTGTAAATGTTTATCGACGATTTACATACGATAGAACGAGCACTTGTAATTTTCGTAATGACGGATGGGTGGATCGGTGGATGGTGTTGTTTTTAGTTACATGTAACGTATGTTTGTAACAGGCACGTCGCGCTCCTATTCCTTTTATACGTAATCGTTTTACACCTGTCGCGATGTTGCAAAGCAAAAATAATTCGAATCTAATCGCTACAGCTGGGACAAAGGACGAGAACTATCATTTTTTGTTTCATATGTAATATTAGAAACACTGTAGACCGTTTGATTTCAACTGTACTAAATTTTATGGCGATAAAGAAACAGTTACACAAATTTTGTTTGATCAGATGATGATATACTACTTACGATATGTTTATCACGTATCAGATTGGGGGAAAAATTCAAATTGATTCTTTCTTTGGTCCAATTATAGATGGGTTCGTGTAAGCTAAATTAAGAGATCACTTTTACTAAAATTTTATAAATTCTGCAGTGTTTATAATTTGTACAACTTTTATATTTTATACTTTCATTCTGTAATTTTACTATTTCTGAGTTCCCCAGACTTTGTAGTCAGATTTCTTGCAACTTATATTATCGTATCCTGTATCTGATATCTTGTTGAATCGTGATTAACGAAAGAAATTGATCTTGCTTAATCGTTGTACAAAATTTCGAGAGTTTACGTGAACTACGGTCAACCAATCTCAGCCCACAGTTCTGGAATCGATAGACCAATTAACTGATTTCTATGGAAGAACGGAATACACCAAAAAACACTATGTTTTTTCCAAATCGATAGCAACATATTCGATCAGCGACACTTTTATCGTATTCTGTGAATTATTACGTAACCTTACAAGGAACCATCGCGAACGGTCCGGCTTCGATTTTGATGAAACTTTGTACACTTATAAAGCAGCCAAAAATAATCGACACGTATTTTTTTTTAGCTGCGGTAACTCGAGTTTAAGGGGTGAAACCACCCCCTGAAGTTTTGGCTCGAAACGGCTATCTCGAAAACGGAAAGAGATACAAAAAAATTGTTAATGGGCGAGGTTGATGGTTTCTTATGTACAATAACATGGTGTTAAAAAATTAAAAAAAATACAATTTGTTTATAACAAAAAAAAATTTATT